GTCTCTACATATATAGTCCGGCCCACACTTTATTTAGATGCTTAAAGCCCAATTACTTAATTCCTTATTAGATCACTTTAATTTTGGACTTAACTTTAAGATAGCATTTATACACAATTAATTACATATGTCGGCCTATCACGGGAAATTAAATAATTTCCCAACATGATCCACCACCAACATTCCATCACAACCACCACTATTGCACTATTACCAACAGCACTAAAAATCCAACAACCAAGTAAATCACCAACGCCAAAACATCACAAAAACCACCACAAAATCGCAGTCAAACCTTCACAAAAATCACTTCCAAGTACCACTTTGAGCACCTCATCCCATGTCCACCAAAACCAAGACCATCGCCGCCTGCAATACCACCAAACAGAACCACTACTGCCATTACAACTTGAACAACCATCGCCATCATCACCTACAAACTCCCAAAAACAACCTCCACCACCATCATTTCCTTAACACCAACAATTGTTTTTTAAAAAAAAAGACCTGCAAGCAACCACCTCGATTTAAGGTGGGCCGCTGCAAGCAGGAACAGCGATTTGAAAGTTGGTCTGAATAACCCCAGACTTAGACCTGTAAGTGGTCAGCCCGATCTGTAAATGGCCACCTCGATCTCAACCTCACTGTGCGTGGCCTTGTTGGTGGAGCTCCGATGACAAGACTATGCAAGAATATGAGAGTAAGAGATGAAAGAGAGAGTGCAAATGAGAGATAAAGATGAGAGAGATTTCAATTTGGGTTTCATTAATACCTGATTTATTCTCAAATAAACTTAATTTCTGATTTTAGAATTGTCATTTTTAAATGTTCAAGTTACATAAATTCAAGTGTTTAAACTTCGAAGTTTAAAAATGAGGTGTGAAGATTTTTTAATCAAAATTCAGGTATTGAATTAATAATTAAATATTATACCCACCCAAACCCTAATTTTATTTCATTTCTCTCCATTTTCTCTTCCTCTTCTCTCTCTTCATTTCTCCATCTTCAGCAACCGATGACCCATTCAAACTCCGATAACTCGCCGTCATCTCTTTACTGTCAACCCGCTCTCGTCGTCGCCGTCGCAGCAACCCGTCGTCTTTCTACTACAGTCGTCAATGCAACAACCTGCAAGAATGGTGGTCGCGATGATGGCGGATCTGGTTGTCGCGTTGATTGCGGTAATGGTAGCAGCGGTGATGTGGCAGAACCGGTTTTTTGTTGGAAATGATAGTTGTGGTGGTAACTGAAAATGGTTGTGGTTGTGGTTGTGGTTGTGGAGTGGTGGCTGTGAGGTTACGGTGGTTGTGGTGTGTTAGGTGGTGGATCTGGTGGTCGATGTAAAGTGTGGTCGCATTGATGGAGGTACGGTGGTTGTGGAGTGTTGGGTGGCGGATATGGTGGTTGTGGTGAGGTGTGGTTGTGGTGATGGTGGTCGTGGCGGATCTGGTGGTCGCAATGATGTTGGTGGGATCTGGTTTGGATCTTATTTGTTGTTGGAAATGGTAGTTGTGGTGGTGGCTGAAAATGGTGGAAGCGGCGACGACAGCATTGGTAGAGGTGGCAACGACTCTATGAGGTGATGGCAGTTTGTGGAGTGTTGGCTGTTAGTGGTTTATTGAAGTTACAGGTGGAGATGGAGGTGGTGTGCGGTGTTGGAACAGGCGTTTGTGGGTGGCGGTAGTGGCGATGTGTGAGATAGTCATGGCGTCGTTTCCAACGGCAGTGGTGGTGCATTTCTGTTGTTGGCGACGGTGGTAAGTTCGATGGTGGTGGTGGTGGTGGTGGTTGTTGTTGTGGTGTGTTAGTGGTGGTGGTGGTGTTGTGTTTTATTGTTGGTGGAGGCGATGGTGGCATAACGTTTGTGACCAATTATTTGG